TTTACTTCCAAATACCTGTGGTAGAGACAGTACGGAACTGAGAAATGTTATATATGTATCTATTATATTTAAAGTAATGGTGTTTAGGTTAGAATTGTTACTCGTACTTTCTTGGGATCTTATTTGAGATGAATACAAAATGTAATGTACGATTGATGTAAAGACAGAAGTTGAAAGAGAAACAATAAAAACATTTATATCTTACTCTTTTCTTTAAAAAAAAACCGTTTCTATGTAATTAATGTACCAGGACAACATAACTTTTAATTCTCAGAAAATTTACAGTCAGGTTCGTATACAAAACAGCAGTTACAAAACAGTGATAGTATAAATCTGCATAAATTGCTAAACCTGCTTTCGTTTTTTGCGTTCGTAGCAAAAGCTTAAATTTAAAAGCTTTAATTGTATTCAAAGCGCAGCATAGACGAGCTTTATTTACTTACGTAAAGGTAACAGAGCTGAATTTCAGATTTGCAATTCGGACGTAACGCTGTTGTGTAGTTAAATATTTGTATTAAGCAACATGGACTATAAATTATTACTTACTAGCTGTTGCCCGCGAATCCGTCCGTGCGTAATTATGAAAACATAATAGCCTATATGTTCTTCCAGACTATGTCCTACATCTATGCCAATTTCAACGAGATTTAATCAGTCGTTTATATGGTAAAAAGAAAAGGACTGTTTTAGGGTTTTCCCGGCAATTATTCAAATTTTTCTCACGTTTTAAACCTTCCCTAGACTTCCACGAACATTTAAAGACCAAGATAAGATAAATCCGTTCAACCGTTCTCGAGCTTTAGCGAGACTAACGAACACCAATTTTTTATATATATAGACTAGTTGTGAAGTATAAATCTCTAAAAAATAATGCAGGGCAAATTATATTTTAACACAAAGAGATCCTTATAACGGTATAATTTCTCTTGCTTTTCTCTACTTTATCTCAAACAGAAAGTTGCAAAACTTAAAGTTACTAGCTAGCAAGAATAAGTAAGATTAGAGAATTATATAAACTTTTGCACCGGAAGCGCAATTACATAGATGTGTTTAAGAGCTTGAACGTCGGAGTAAATTGAACAAGGACTTAAGCACCAACTTAACTCTGTTGTATAAAATGTTGCAGCTTATACAAATTCAAATAATATCTTGACTAACAAAAAAGCTAATCTTTGTATAATCCCAAAATATAAAAAAAAAACAATTCCGAACGTTAATACCTGGGAAAAAACCTATACGTTGTGTCCAAAATTTAAATTTATTTAAACGTGAAACCAACAAAAATATTGTTATCTCTGTTTTTTTCAAAGAGTGTGAGTGAGATAGCAATATGTACCTATACATGTGAACAAAAGACGACTTGAATATAAATTGGTAGAAATTGTTAAGTCGGTAGTCAGAATATACGAAGGTGTTGCGATTAAAGCTATTAGACGCTAATATCTGCACTTCACTTCGCGGTACCAGATCTAATTTTCTTATCTAATTACTAAACGTCTGCGACTTGAGGAACATTTACATTTATTTAAGGTTATGTCTATCAATTTCTAGATTAACTAAGGTATATAACGAAGGTATACCTTACTAGCGAAACTGCTTGTAAGCAAAATAGTATTTGTCCAAGTTTTATCAAAATTTATCCAAACCAAATCTACATTTTATATTTAGTAGTCTAGTTTAGTAAAGCTAGATTCACAGCGTACAATCTTATCTAAGACAGACCAAGTTCTACTCGCGACGTTTCACTACAGTTTCACTATCACGGAGTTATGCTACAGGTCTGAAACACAGACTTTATAACTGTTCTTAATTAAAAATTTCACATCCTATTTTAGTATATTACTAAAATATTGTGTCCCTGCCGTCAAACCAACAAACTGCTTCCTTTATCGTAAAAAAGTTAACATCGTAAAACAAAACACTATCATTTCTAACTAAAGATAAAGTTTGCTCTCAATGATTTCCGACATAATACTACAGTAACTTATCTAACTGGAGCGCTAACAGGCATCATCTCTATATTTAATTGCCTGCGCTGACCCGAACTCCGCGTTAACTGCCCAAGTTGCCAGTTGCCGGTTACCACCACACCTTGTTATAACTTTTATACGTATATAGTTTTTTGTTTTCAGATTATCTGTCCAACATTTTTAATCCCTTTGAAATAGAAATAACAATAGTAATCATACATATGTTATAACGAGTTAAATTCAAACTTAGAATTAACACGCTTGTAACACAGAATTGTGGTCATAATTAGCAATGAATATGGGAAATTTTATTGAAACCTGTACACAATGAAGAGCACATTTACGTGCATTTCCAAAATAATTAATATCTTCCTTTAGTCAGGAACATCAAAGACTTTTACCTACATTTTGAATGAGAAAGACTTTTCATCTTAATAGGATATGACCCTCTGTGTTTTACGTCAATTGTTGTAAAAAGAATAGAGCAGCAAAAAAGCTTTCCTCGCTCCTGAGTAAACGCATTGTTATCATATCTTTGTTACTCAGCAAAATCGAGATTTGTCTTATTTGTATATTGTAGGATTTCACTAGTCGGGTTCAATGTGTTAAATAAATGTACGTATTTCCTACTATAATTACTTCTAGAGTATATAAAGAATGATAACAACTAATCTTTCTACTGATTTAACAGTGGTAGAGCCCGCTTTAACATCTTCGCACGTATTGGCCCGGCTCGCCCGGTAAAATACCACGACCACACAGAAGACAGGCGTCCAGTGGAAGCAATTCCGCGTTTCGTCTGATGAGTGTGCGTCCCGGAGGCCTAATTTAATCCTCTTTCCATTCCCACCTTTTTTCTTATAAGGAAAGGTTTGGAAGTGGAAGTGGACTTTCCGGGTGAAAGGATGCATGGAAAGGGAATATATTTTCTTTCTGTGCATCCTCTCCTCCGTAGCTAAAAGGTAGGCAACGCATATGCAATTGCGTATGTCTATGGGCAGCGGTCACTTCGCTATATCAGCGATTTCAGGTGGCCGCTGGCTCATTTGCCACCTTAAGATATTAAAAAAAATTGTTGTAACATTAAAGTAATTGAAATGCGAATGTTTGCATGCATAGATATTTTTAGAAGGTATCCCTAGACAGGCTGCAGGAAAATTCAGGAACCAGCAAGTTTTCTAAATTAAGCGTACTTTTGCTCACGACTTTCAAGAATCACATAACGATCAAAGGTCTATTCTCTTGTTTCCATCATTTCATAAGAAGATAATATCAAAAGCGACAATGTAACGATGTTAAACTAATTATGAGAAAATATTGTAACGTGATTTCCCACAAGACGAAAATCTTTACTACGCCCTTCGAAGCGTTATTTATTTAAAATTAAGATGTTTTGTATTATGTTGTTAACTTTATCATTTAAAATGTTGATTAAAATATTTTCTTGTACACATGTGTCAAGGAACGAAGTACATGCCAAGCAATAAAAAAGTATTAATTAATTTGCAGTTGTACATTGTAAAATAATTATTAAAGTTTATCCTGGAATAGATAAGTAATAGTAAGTAAAATATCATAACCGTAGATTGGGCCTAGCACGAATATTTCCGACAAGAGATATTATCGTCATAGTCATTTGTGCCAAGATCAGTATGAAGTTTTTGGTGTACTTTACGCTCAATAGGGGGCGGGAGTGGGGTTCGCTGCACTAATTTTAATACAAATTTTGTCGATGATGATACGATGGCATTTGTCAGAAAAAATCGTGTTTGACTTTACCGTACCGTTCAGTACCTTACAAGTTGAATCGTTAAAATAAAAGTAACTCCAATTCCAGTTAAGAATTTATAGAGCTAACACGTCGGACCTTTTAGAACTAATGTCGGAGAAATGTAAGGAACTTTTACACAGCGTTTTCAGCCTGCAAAAACTCTTAGACACGGATCTTTACGATATCTAAAGCCGATAAAGTTTGCTTTTGAAGAGAAATTCTTTTTACTCGTATTTATCAAAGGAAAAGTATATTTTTCTAACTTCCACAGACTATTCATAACTTTAATCTTGTTATATTTTCTAGAAAACTTTAATATCTCTTTTAAAGTATGTTTTTGTACTAACAAAATTACTCGTAATTTTATTTTCTTTTCCCAGCAAATGTTATCTTAAATACATTAAAAATGTTAGAACGTTTTTTGAAATATTCGAAATATATACAGGGTTAATACATAACTACGTATTTCCAAGATAAAGCTTCAATTTCAATGAACTGACATTTCGTGAGCGCGTGGGATGTTCCTCCTACACGCTACCGAGTTAACATTTAATAGAAATCCTTATTTTACGCTTGACCTCATACAATATGTGTACCTTTATAATGTCATTACTACCTGAGCAAGATAACATGAGGTATACTTCCTGAATACGTCATAAGGAATTTGACACAAAACTACCAAAAGATCTATTTAATTTTATAGTTATAAGAATTTAGGCATACTTAATCGGGTAACAAATTAAGGCTAAAAAGCTAATGTAAAAAATACATGCAAAAAGAAAACATTTAAGTAAAATGCTTGAAACATTGTATTAAAAAAAGAAAAGAAGTCAAATCCCGTCTACCTAAAGCGTAACAGCAAAGTTTTACTTTTTTTTTTAATTTGACATATGCATAAAACATATACTACTAATAATATTCGTCTATTATTGTATGCACGAATGGCATACAGAATTCTGTACAAAATAAAATTAAGTTGTGAATTTCGTACACGTTATTTACTTTCCGTCTTGACGACTTTCAAACTCGTCTAAAGAATAGAAGCCTTGCAACAAAATCAATAATCGAAACAACCCAATAACAAACAAAACAGGACTCACGCGTACACAACAATAGGAATAGGAATTTTTAAATGAAAATCGTGTATATAAATCCTCTTCCTGAATGTAGTAGTACGTATATAACATAAGATACATAAAACAAGGACATAGGATGTAGCGTAGCGTCATAAAGGATGTACTCGCAAACTAAAGCCTTACCTGTACAGCTTTTATCCACCGTCAGCATCCAAATATTAAATTAAACAAACACTATGTACACTTTTATATACACATACACTCGAAATTAAAATATATAAGTTGAGCTTATGTAATTTAGAGCGAGTACCGCTGCATGGCGCGAGCGTAGCGCGCCGACACCGACTGCAGACATAAATGGCGGACGACTGCGCGCGCAACACGCCCACCGCTTAAGCTGGACTTCCACTAAATTATATATTGCAAGTAAAAGAAATAAACTTGTATCTTAATAAAAAAAATTTGGTTTTTAAAATTTAACTTTACTATCAATCATGAAACGTAGTAGATCGACTACAAATGGCTATGAATATCAGTTTATTTTATTTATTTTAACAACTTTTACAACTTTCATTAGATTCTGGGGTCATCTGGTAGATGTGTAACAAAACAATATCATTAATATTGTAACTTTGTATGTCTTACTTGTTAATACTTGAACAAATATATCTTTCATAGCAGTGCTACGAACTTACAATGCGCTCCGAATGTACTACGTAGTAATGTTGCCGTAGCACGTAGCATTGCGTAGCGTAGTAAACTTTCCAATTTTCATGGAAATTAATGATAATTAAACAATTAAGCATCACGTAAACTAACTTTAAATACAGCCGAACCAGGATAAGTCAGAATATAAAAAACACGATTTTTTCTTTCTCGCTTACAGAGGTGTCTCGCTCATCCAATTCTCGCTTGTCAATTTCGACTTATTAGAAAATTATTATAGTGTGAATAACAACGGTATTCAAACAACTTTATATACAGTGAAAGTGTTTGCCTGAGAGCATTATATCAACAAACTTTGTCACTCCGTAATCGCTGTTAACACTGAAAGGGATAAAATTCTAAATCATTGATGAAAGCGTACATTAATCTAGACAAAAGGCACACACTTTGTAACGTTCAGTGTTACCCGCTACCAATAATATCTTCGATGATGAAGATTACACAATATTAAATTCCATTGCTTGTTGAACTTTTAAAATGCTTTCCCATTGTAGTACTAAAGCAGCAATGAAATGTGAAGTTGTAACTTAAGTCGTTATTGTATTTATTAATGGTAGAGGGAGACAAGTCGAGGGGAAAAAATGTTGATTTTCGGGAACAGAATCAGTCGTTCAGAAGTGCAGTGGGAGAGTACTTCCTTGGGCGGGAAGTCGAGCAATAAAGACAAGGCTGCGCAAATATAACGGTTCATGTTGCCCTCATTTCGCTTAGCGGAAGACACGCGGCTCACGTTTCAAACGCGCCGCGCTCAAAACATTTTATTATAATATTTTCTTTTTAGTCTTTGATCAAAACTCTTACTTTTCGTTTCATTTTTCCGTCGTACTTCTACAGCATAGTTTAGCTTTTCAAAGTAAAAATAAATTAAAGCTTCGTATTATATTTATTTATGTACAACATTATTTGAAAAATATCAAACTTAATATAATAAGCAGAGTCACTTTAAATTAACGAGAACGAAGTTAAAATTATTAGATTAATTTTTTTGAGCCGTCATATCAAAACGGTAAGTCTAATAAATAAATTCTATTTAATATAGCATATACCACTCGCGACTTCGTCCTCGCGAAATTTAAAAAATCTAGTAATAAATATAGCCTATGTCACCCAGGGATAGTAAAGCTTCCCAATAGTGAATGAATTTTACGAATCGGTTCAGTAGTTTTGGAGCCTGTTCAACACAATCAAATCTTTCTTCTTTATAATATTAGGACACAGAATAAAAAAGTACAGAAATAGATCAGACTAAACTTTCTACTGGGTACTTTCTGCAAAAATAGTTATAGTAATTTAACGATGAAAAGGTAATATCATTTTCGGTCTTCGTAAAAAAATAAAGTTTGAAATTCCTAAATGTGACAAACATTTACGAATCGTCTTGGAATCGGCCGCCAGACGTCGGTCGATGCCTCTAATGAGGTTACGCTCAATCAATCATAGTATTAGGGGTCATGCACACGGAATAACATCGCAATAACACGATCTAGGCCTGTTTTTGATACTTTGTAGCAGAGGAAAAAATATTCACATTTTGTTCTTCTTTTTAGATATCGCAATTGATAAGTTACATTTAATCAAATTAATTTGATAAGTATTTTATAACTTGGATGTGAATGTACCCTTATCGGATGAAACGACGTCCAGTGACGTCAGCATTCTGATAGAAAATCGAGGGCAACAAGGATCCCGTTTGGCAATACTTTCACAAAATGACTCTACATAGCTAAAAATCAAAGGTACTTTTTTATATTCCCTTGATTTGGAAAGTCATGGCTTTGGTCTATAATTACCATTATAGTTACTCAACTATGTAACATTAGCTACCCTTATTTCCCAACTTTACTTCATTTTATCTCTTTTTCTCAAAATATGTGGAAATGTCGTTTTAACTGTCAGGTACGGCATTTGACGTTTCTATTTGGAGAAATGGCATATAAAGCTTCATTCACTGTTGATTTCTGAAACCAAAATCTCTGTAAAACATATCGCCATCCTTGTCGAAACAGACAGTAATATGTTTTAAACTGGTACGTTCGTCTCAGAAACCCACGATAACAATAAATAAACCCTGTCATGAGTGCGCCACAATCTAAATTGATATATAGCAATACATCAAACAACCTAATGTAATTTAAAAGTAAAATCCACTATTTTCGGTATATCCTACATTAATTGCGTAAGTATTTTTTTCTCCGCCGCTATAAATATTTTCCAGCATATTTAGCATTTACACATAAAATTTTTAAGTCAGCAAAGATTAAAATAACGTACTTTGATAAATTGGTACCAATCAACAATATCAATGCCATGGTAACGATTGTTTTTAATATTATTTTGCCAGTACAAGAAATTAGCTCCGTAGGTTTTCCGCTATGCGGCAAGGAGTTGTATGTTTCCGGGCAGCTATATTGTTTTATTTCATTATATAACATTTTACTAAAACGTACACCCATCATCTTAAACTAACTTCTCTTTTACTTCTTTATTTCTGTTATTGTTATTCTTTTGTTATATTATATCGCGTTACTTACCTATTGTTTCTTTTCACTGCGTATTTCGCAACCTTATATCAAAGTCAAACGTCAGTCTAATGTCAAATATTAATGTCTATTGATTAAGGTTATTTCTAGCTGCCTTAATTTGTATGTGTACATGTAATAATTTTCTAAAATAAATTTGTATAATGAATAAGCTATGACTACGCAATACAAAAAATTTACAAGACTCATAGCTAAGTGGCCTCTTGACAGTACAAAGGGCGACAGGTTAGTTCTCTTGTATGTTTAATAATACGCATTTTAAACCCATTAATGTTGCATAATACATGTTTATGATACCCTTGTTTTCAGGGACCTAGGGAAATTTATACGTGACAAAGTTAAGGCAGCGTTTGAAACTTCACAGACACAAAATTTAGATACAGACTTGTGTAATCGCCAGTACAATTCCCTTAACCGTTTAGCTGACAATTACTATAAAAACAAGTACAAGAGACTCAAGACCAGTACAGCAACTGGTCTTAACACGGAAGAGTGTAACTTGATGCTATCCAATGAAGTGCTAACTTACTTAAAAGAAGAAAACAAAGGTTTCTTTAAAAAGATATTTAACAAAGATTAAAAAATGTTACCTCGGCAATTAAAACATTTCTATCGGTACACTTTCAAGCGTAAAATAAACACAGAAGCTGCACAATATAAGGATCATGTGCCTGTAATGTTAAATGAAGTTAATAAGTATTTACAACCTACAAACAATGAATTGTACATAGACATGACATTTGGTGCAGGTGGCCACTCTAGACAGTTACTTACATCTGCCGATTGTAAGCTAATAACACTTGATAGAGACCCTGTGGCATATGAAAAGGCTAAAGAACTGTCAAAAGAGTTCCCAAATAGAGTGATACCTTTACTTGGAAGGTTCAGTGAGCTGCCAGCACTTTTAAAAGAAAGAAATATAAAACAATCATCAATAGACGGTATACTTTTTGATTTTGGATGCTCATCAATGCAACTAGATAATGGAGAAAGAGGATTTTCTATCAGTAAAAATGGATATTTAGATATGAGAATGGATGCTGGACGAGATCCAAATCAAATAACTGCTAGAGAAGTGTTAGCAACTGCTAATGAACAAGAGTTGTATAAAATTTTCAAAGTGTATGGTGAAGAGAAAAAGGCCGCAAAAATTGCACAAACTATAATACAAGCTAGATACATGATTAAGAACATCGAAACAACTAGAGAATTGGTTGATATTGTTGATTCATGTTGTCCAAATGAATTTAGACTTGATAAATTACAAAGACCTCAATCAAATGCTACAAAAGTGTTCCAAGCATTAAGGATATTCGTTAATAATGAACTAAACGAGATAAATTATGGAATGGTATTATCAAAGTATTATTTGAAACTTAACGGTAGACTGGTAACAATTTGTTTTCATTCATTGGAAGATACAATAGTAAAAAGACATATCGCTGGCAACACTGTTAATGATGTAGCCAATCCTGTACCTTTGAGATATTTGAGTCCAACTTTGGTTCAAGACCAAGATACTATCAATCAGTTTTTGGACAGTCCGTGGAAAGCTATAAATAAGCATGTAGAAGTACCATCTGATGATGAAGTGGAGAGGAACCCTAGAAGTAGAAGTGCACGGCTACGAGCCGCTGTCAAAATTAAATAGTTTATTACTTTATTCATGTTAGACTAGAAATATACATTTTATTTTATATGACGCATTTTTCACTTACATTATGAAGTCGGTAGATGGCGCTGCGACTTCCTCTGCGAGGAATTTAAAAAAAAACTTGATTAGTAGCTTATGTATTCTTCCAGGCTATGTTCTACATCTATGCCGAGTTTCAGCGATATTAAATACAGCCATTCTAGACATACTTGCTAACAAACATCCATCCTATTTGCATTTATGATATTTTTTTCTTTTTTTTTATGGCCTTTTCTGCATTAGACAGCAAATTCCTTGGTATTTTACTCTGCCATTTTAAATAGTCAATTGTCACTCTGATAATTTATAGGAAAAAAAAACATTGAATTATTTGATAAATAATTTATATTTGCATCTTTCCATTTTACATTCCCACATTGGTTCTACTTCTAATTATCACTCTACTATTTAAATAAACATTTCTGAACCTAAATATTGGCCATTTTCGACTCTCTTTTATACATAAATCTAAGTAAATTGTATTAAGTTTAAAAAAATATTTTTAAATCAATGTTAAAACTTCTTATTTATAATCATTAGTAAAGAAGCTAAAATGCAGATATCCTATACTAATATTGGCGAAATTGATAAAAACAAAAAATGGTAGATAAACATAGACATATTTATAAAAAAAGGTTTTATAGGAATAACATCGATGCTCATCTGATTCGCATAATTTTTTTTCAAACAAAGCTCATAAACAATCAAAGCATTTTTAAGCTAAAAAAAATTAATATTATAGCTTTATTAAGATTTCATTTATAAACTTTATTATGCATTTTTACAACAATTTTTTTTTTCAAAACATTAAGCAAAATTTTAGTTCTCAAATTCAGATGTTAATGGAAGATTTCAGTCAAGTTTTTAAATGCTTATTTCCGTACATAATTCAAGTTGAGAAATATTATTTTAATTGATTAATCAAAACCCTTGTTTTTTACAATTTTGAAAATTATCAAAAGTAATACATAAGATTTTAGAATTTTAAATAAAATCCAGAATATATAAAAGTCGAACCTGGATAAACGAGAATATAAAGAACTACAATATTTTTCATGCTTATAGTAGTTTCTCGCTTATGGAGGTTCATTGGGACCGGACAATGAATCTCGCTAATAAAAATTTCTCGCTCATCTTGGGGGCTAGAGTGTAACACGTGTTAAATGTATAGAAAAAAATGGAAGTGATAGTCACATCCATACATTTTTTGGATTAGCAACATCGCCTATAGAATGTTACTTTGTCTGACCCCCAAGTTCTCGCTTATGCAGTTTCGACTAACCTTTGAATTTCTATTATAAATAAAAATATTTTTTTTCAACTCACAAGCATATTCCAAGGCCACAGTAGGAATGTGGTTAAAGGTACAAGTAGCTTACATTTTTAATGTAATACAAAACGTAGGCAGTGAAAATATGGAACATAATAAAAACATTTCATAATTTTAGACATTATTTAGTATGAATCCTTTGGCGCGAAAGTGCTTTCGTTACAAAGTCAAGTGTCAGAATGAATAGTGAGGGGACATAAACGTTGACACTTTAGTAAGGCTAGCGTTGAGTCAATACACTGGCTAAATTTCGGATTTTCTTCCTAACAATAACAAAATTATGGCTAAATTAGTGTTTTTAAGCCTCTAAAAAGGTTCATAATTATTTGAAAAATATTTTTATATATGGTTTCGTCAGTAGTGGTAAGAAAATATATGTTTATATACATGTTTTCACAGTGAAAAATGGTATAAATATGACAGTTTTATGTATTTCGTGAATGAGTAAGAGAGGAAGAGAGGAAGAGAAAAGACAAGTATGGGAAGAGAAGGTATTATTTTTTGGTAACCATATTATGTTAAAAGTTTACTTAATATTTTAAATGGAATTTGATTAATGATAAATTTAAAAAATCCCTATTATAAAGATAAAGACAAACAGTTTTTGAATGATATTACATTTCAGTGGAAGCCTCGCTTAAATTATGTTGTAATTATATTAAAATCTATATAATTATATATATGTAGGTCATACTTTTACATATAGAATATGGCAAATACATATTGTTTTCTTAAACATTACTTATATAATTTTAACAGTAAATAACTAGATATTACTAAAATTTTCAATCAGTTTAAATAGGTTTTTTTTTCATATCGGTGCATTTTGAAAGAACGAAGTGAAGAAAATAGAAAATATATTATGCTGATTATATTTTATATATAAGAATTACATAATTATAAAATCCCTTTTGAAATATTAATAAAAAAAAAACATTGTCTTTATAAGGGATTTTTACAAAAAAAAACTTCTGTTAACCGTTTGAGCTTTACAATTCCGATGAACCATTTTTCTATGAAGAAATTAATAGTTTAAATATTTTTTGTATGTATCAGGCATAATAATAAATTTACCATATATATTATATTTAGTATGTCCTAGATATAATTTTAACATAATCTGTTAATAAAAAACAAGAAAATTTCTAAAAATGATATAACTATATTTAAATTTTACGAGGTATGATTTGTAATATACATTTCTCTTTATTTTCAGAGTTCAAAATAAGGATTTATCACTGAAATTTAAGTTCAGTTAAATCACAAAAGTATAAAATCTTTGCCTCTTGTCTATGGACTGCTCTGTGACTGGTGTGAAGATGTCTGCTCTATGACAACAGTTTGACAGCAGAATGTTTATGAGAGCCCGGTCCTGCAAATAAAAGTTAATGTTTAAAGTTGACCTCAGCAAATAATCTGAAAGTTTATGAAATATTTGCGTAAAATGTAAGATTATACAAACTATTAATTCGGTAAAATAAACTTTTATTATATTTTTGCTATTTACATGAAATTTCAATATGTTTTAGTATTTTTTATTCAAACATCCTGTCATCTCTGTCTGTTTTAAATAGAACAAGAGAGACAATAAGTTTTGATACTGTAAAACCCACGGTAAGAGAGCTAAATATCAAACTTAGCAACTATTTCAGACTATAATGATGGTGACTATAATTTGAATTTTTTACTGAATTCAAAGAAAGAAAGAGCGAGAGGTCAGAACTATGATAAATAGAGGTATGTTTTCTCTGCGTGAGTTGTGAGAAGAGAACGATGTCTGACCAGGCAGAGTGGTGATGCAGGGTACTAGTCTGGTTATGTGGTGTTGACAGAGGAGAGGACGTTGTGCTTGGCCCTGTCTGTGGCGGCGGCGGCGGCGTCACGCATCTCGCGCAGCGCCTCCCGCACCGGCGCCCCGCCCCCCACACCCCCACCACCCGCCCCACTCGCACGCGGGAACATCGCGTGCAGTACATGGTTGAACCCATTCACCTATAATATTATACATACATACTTATAATATTATAAATGCGAATCTTTATATGTATGGATGGATGTTACAACGTATCTGCAGGTACTTGAAAATATTGAAAAATAAGATTTAACACTGAAAAAATAAGTCATGGCTAAAGAGATTTTAACTCGCTCTTTTAACTACTTTTTTAGAAATACATCTCTTAAGGAAGAAAATGAATCGAATGACACCTCACTCATGAAAGTCAGTTCAGTCGGTTAAGCTCTAAACCGTCACAATGGAAATTACATACATACAAACCCAATACTCTCTTTGACAGTCAGAATTAAATTGGCTTGTTTTGGCTACTACTGTATAGCGACTCACCATCTGCGTGCAATTCTTGCGGAACCTGTCGACCCCGAAAGCGCGGATGGCTCGCGAGAAGCCGAACACCTGTGAGTCGATCCAGGCCGAGCGGTGCGCGATTGTCTGCCCGCCCACTGACCGGTACTCCACGCGCTCCACCACACTCTGCGCAACGTATAGCATAGCCCCGTCAATACAGAACTACCTCTGTACTGAACTGTACATACAAACTGACCTTTAGAAAATGACTGGATAATAAGACTTTGCGTTTGTGCCTATTTAATTTTCGCCATTTTGGCGGCAATGGTAGCGGTGTAACATTGATATCTATTAATGGATAGACATTTCGATAGATATTGCTTGGAAACGAAAGTTTTTGCGTTGTTCCGACTCAAACGCGGCTGTTGAAGTTCCTGACAAGTAATTCTATTCCTGTAATTAGTTCGAAATCTCACAACCCCTACTAAACGCAACAGTCAGCGCCAAAATGGCGACGATCAAATAGGCACAAAATAACAAGGTTTATTGCCTGTCCATATACAGAGGTCAGTGTTTGTACAGCACAGTACACTGCAGTGTACCTAATTGGACTGTGCTATAGAAACATCAGTGTTTTATACAACACAACATTATGTTTTGCATTGTACATTGGAATGAATTATAATTGTGACTGTACCTCACCAATGAATACACATCTAGTCTAATTTCTAGCAAAATTATTTCCATTCACTGTCACTTCTGTGGACATGATATTACACCAAGCAAGTGGACCCTTAGTACAATTTGCTGTAGACTCAAGGAGATAACCCAGGAAAACTCACCATGACTTTTGTATATCCCAAATTCCTTGTATATGTGACTAGAACTTTCTCCTTAGGATCAACTATACTCTCTTCAATAATCTTTACTGATTTGGCATTGAAAAACCTATAACAAAATGTAAATTTAAACAGAGAATTAACAAATAAATCCATAAATGACCTTGATTTCGAATTCATTAAAGTTCAAATATCTTCTTAAAAACCCATTTCTTTACATAGAAATTCCTAATCTTACTTATATTACAAAAGTGAATGTTTATGTGAATGGATGGATGGATGTTTGTAGGTATCATCGGAACAACTGAACGGATCTTGCTGAAATTTAGCTTATTGAGACATTTTTAAATTTCCGAGAGTCACAGGCGACAGCTAATACATACAATTTTGGATATTTAAGGTTTGTTTAAAATTGAGAGAGTAATAAACACTGATAACATTAATGCATCACCACAGATAAGATAAGGCTTTAACACAATGTGATTAATGTAAACAACTAGGGAAGTTTGATGGTTTATTTTATACATTTCATAGAACAGATGATAAAAACACTAGTATTAACAGATTAAAAATTATGTTGTATACAAAATACATATTTTTTTTATATCAGATGGCGGCAAACGAGCGAGCGGCCACCTGAAATCGCTAAAATAGCGAAGTGACCGTTGCCCATAGACATACGCAATTGCATATGCGTTGTCTACCTTTAATCGACGGAGGAGAGGATGCACAGAAAGAAAATATCTTCCCTTTCCGTGCATCCTCTCATCCGGAAAGTCCACTTCCACTTCGAATCCTTTCCTTAAAAGAAAAGGGTGGGAAGGGAAAGAGGACTAAATTAGGCCTCTGGGACGCACACTCATCAGACGAAACGCGGAATTTCTTCCACTTCACGCCTGATTTCTGTGTGGTCGTGGTATTTCACCGGGCGAACCAGGCCAATTCGTGCGAAGATGTTAAAGCGAGTTCTACCACTCTTCATATATATATCTTTTGAATACATGATGATATAAATTAGATATAGTTGAAATTACATATAATAGATACAAACCTTTCTCCCCACTTTGGCACTCTATTGGTTTTTGTGAGAACACGTTTTGTATATAGACAACCATCCCGCACCTGCCTGCTCCATGTATCCTCAGATAACACATGTGTACTGGAATTTTTTTACATAATATTATAAATATGAATGTTTACATGGATTGATGGATGTTTGTTAGAAGTTATCAACAGAACTGCATGGATCTTGCCTATATTTGGCATAGATGTATAACATAGCCTGGAAGAACACCAACTGAAGTCGCTGGCGACAGCTAGTATTATTTATTATATACTGTTATAGGGATGGACGTGTTAAATATACATCAGTGTACTAAAAACAAATATTTTTGAACTCTATTTAATTATTACATAAGAAGTTCTTTTGCTTGGGCTGGTATCCAATTATCACCAGTAAAGGGCTTTTAATAATTGTACAATGTATTCATGTAAATATAAAATCTAATAAGAAAAATAGTACAAAGCTTGAGATTCCCTTCATGATTGACAGTGTAATCTACAAAAGAAACCTACAAAATATTTTATGTATGTTAAATGGATATACAGAGGTTTCATAATTACAATGAAGGTTAATTTCTTAAACATTTAGTTTACCTACACGAGCAATCAAAACAGTTAATTCAAGGCTAAAATTCCTTATGGAATTTGCCTCATGTATTTTCACATTATTGTAACAAATTAAAACATATGTATTTGTCTAGATTACTTTGGCTAAGTACATAAAGTGGTCACCAATTAAATTTCAAGAATTTGTAGTTCATTGGTCAATCTACAAGGTCTTCTTTTGTTTACATTTATTAAATTAACAATAGAACAATAAAAGTTATGAATGTTATGTGCTTTTGGATTGTACACATACAATGGTTATGTATAATATTATTTAATATGTAAAAATATTCAGTGGTCAGTTAACAAGGCCAGATAATTTTTATTTCTTAAACATAAATAAAGTTGTATAAATAAGCACAACAAGGACATTAATCTGTTTTAAAAAATTGATACTTACCTTTGTGGATTAGGGTACCTTTTCCAATACCCGCACGCAACTTGGTCCCAACTAAAGTTGAAAGTTGTCGTATTTTCAAAGTATCTAGCCATTTTTCACTTTGTTCTCACAATTTGTAAACTGGAATGATGGCGAATATGGGATCGATAGCTTTAATACGGCGTCATACTTGGTAGAAACCTTTAAAAATGCACATAATCAATCGCTTTGGAATTTACATAAGTAACAAATACTTAAAAGATATACGATTACATAAACAGTCACAAGTAGGTCACAAAATCGATCGTACTAATTTATTTCAATTAAATCAAATATCGCGCACAATGGCTTTGTGATTATGGTCACGTACATCTTCTCGGGCCAACTGACAGAAGTAAACAACCAAACCTGAGTACATCGTGCCGCGGAAAACTTGACTCACAAACATGATGATAAATAACCTTCACAAACGTTATATCATATTTACTAACCTCACTATTATTTACGGTATTAAATGAAATAACACTTCATCATAAATTACTTATGGAAACCAATTAAACCTTCAAATCACCTTTTTTGCCGGAGTTATGCTGGAAAGTGTTTTGAATATTATAATTTTCTGCAACAGACGTTTGTTGCAGATTTAATAACAATTTCCGAAGTTAACTTTAGGGTATGGTGAACACTTCGACCGTAAATCGCATGTTATCATTCATATTTCAAGTATTTTTCGATAAAATTTCGATAACTATTGACAGATAATGGGATAACTCCAGAGTCCACGGATTGAACTTAATAATGTTGCTATTTTAACACTCCCAAACTCCCGAAAAAGCATAACAAAATAGGTGTTGTGAGGCTTAAAATTAAATGTACTTTTTAAGTTTGGTAAAAATATTATGACATGCCTTTTCTCCATCCTTTTTCTTAAAAACTGTAATATGATGTCAACGTTTATACTTCAATACTTGAATTAAACTCTGGGAGGATATCCATTTCTACGTCATTTTAGCAGTAAATTAGTGAATATAAAATTGTTGGCAAGATTTTATAAAATACTGCACAGAATATGAAGTGCCCCCCCCCCCTCATAGTCGATAATATTTTATAATATCATTCCAGAACCCCAGAGTGTTAGGCAGAGATTTTGTCGAATCTGCTTCAGCTACTTTACATATTGCTGGACTTTTTCATGCTTGGTAATTTCCTACTGTAAAGGACTATATTTCAAATACATACGTCTAATTATTTAAGTACGTTTATTTGAATAATTAAGCTAATATAACGTCCGCTCATCCATAAAAATTGGGCAAGAAATTAATAAACTCCTGACAGGCTACATGAGCTCCGTAGGCGGCCTGAACTTCAGCGTCATCGGACTCTTCTGGCTTTCTGCGTTTCACTTGCTTAGATTTCCATTCTTTAGAGGCTGCTACTGCTTTCTGTAAATATATGCAGATTTTTTTAATGAAATTACATTCTGACCTAAAAATTCTGACTTGATTGTCAGACACTAACACGAATAACCTAAAGCTAATATTTAGTAAACTAACATCTTTCCGCTCTTTGTATATAGCATCCCGATACTTCGCGGCTTCTGCTCTTTTTTGCTCCATTTCCGTTAGAGTTCTACTGTATCTGTAAATTTTTAAGGGATTAAATAACAATGTTTCAATTTTGATCCCATTGCTTAAAACCTTAACCTTTCTTAACTTTTCTTTCCATGAGAAGCTGAATTATACGTCTTCAATTTATCAGTGTAACAGGTGAGAACCTGTCTCATTTTTAGCAACAAAGTAATATAGATTTAATGTGGCAACTTTTCAAAATACTTATATTTATATCAAGATATTGATCGTTATACTTGAAACGGATGAGTTTATGAGCGAGACAATGTATCGGGTTCTTGGGCTCCTCCATGGCCACCTGGTAAAGAACCTCCGGGAGTATATGTCCAAAACTGTCCCATAAATATAGCGCCGTCTCCTTACTAAGCGTTCCTACAAAGAACATTTTTATCATTAACATATCGGCCCATATATCAGTTCAAACTGAACTTCCCTTACGCCTTTACTATATGCGATCTTCCTGCATCATAATGAATGAAAATGAATAAAATAAAATATATGTAATACAATAAAATTATTTCTTTTCTCTATAAATGTAAAAAAAAAATATTTTCGAATTAACCCGCGTTAAGATATCACGTGTCAGTTCGCTAGATTCTGGTTTACTGTCTTATGATTCAAACTCTTTAACCTTTTATATTTTGCATTTTAATCTTAGGCACTTGGATGTCATCGCCGCAATGCCGTATATCCATTTTACAGGACTTATTCTGTCGCTCCGAATGTCCGCAATCAACCGTGCACTTCGTAAGCAAATCATCCACCATACGATACGAACTGGTGCAGGGGGCTATCTTGTACGTTTTGTCACCGTTCTCGTCAATAACATATCGACCATTGATGTCATAATAATAAGCTTCTGTGTCATGTGCCTGGGAAACCAATAAAGTACAGTCAAATAGGTATATAATAGGGACAATATATGAGTATTAACAATATATGGTCAAGTTGACCATATGTTGATTATTCGAGTAATTTGATTATATTCCATAACAGAAGCACCTCGAAGAATTCTCCCTTGCAGTCGACATGGTACATGTTGAGTCCGTAATCGTAACAATACACCTTGTGGCCGTACTCATCCACGTAGTAACGACCGATGCTGTCCTTGTAGAAGATATGATCAGGTCCTAGGACATACTATTTGTTAGCATAGAATTAAAGTAAGAAAGATGTACTCAAACTCTATTTTACTTACCTCTAACACTAAAGAAACTTAACAAAGCCCTTCCCGCTTCCTTCTTCCTCTCTTCCAAATGTTCCAATTTCGTATTGAACATTTTCTCCATGTGCTCCCAACATCTGCGTTTTGTTGGCGGTATCTCAGTATCCCTTGTCACGTATATCGAAAAAAAAATGGTCATTTAAGTGTAAAAAAAAATGTTTACATAAATAATTGAAAACTCTAAAAACCTTCCCACACATTCGACGAAATAACTTGCTTTGCCTATTGTCACTATAGCTTATAGATCATATCATATTGGGTTTAATCTTAATTGACTTTTCCTTTAAATGTTTTAATACATATTGTCACGTTACGACCACTTTACAAAAATGTTCCAAGTTTTAGCTTAGGCATTGGAATTTTACGTTTATAGTTATACAGGAAAGTTCTATACATTTACCGCAAACTGAGATAAGTTTGTTGTTGTTCTCGAACTTTCTGTTCTATCTCGTTTAAATCTTTGAATGTTTTATCGATCTGATTGAACTCTTTGAGTTTTTCATTCCAATAATCAGCCTCTTCTTTAACTCGGGCCAATACTCCTTCTTTGTGGCTCTCAATTCTGCACTTCAACTTGTCCAAGCATTTTTGAACCTACATTTTTAAGTCGTTAAAACTTATTTAAAATATGCCATGAGAAAAACAACGTTGCGTAAACTCTCTAAAGCAAGTAAGCGAAACTACACAGCAAGAACTTCTGCTAGGTTTTATTTAGGAAACATTTGCGAATAAGCAGGTTTATTAAACTGTCACAAAATTCGGTAGCCGCTTACAATTCTTACTTCGGCAATTTGTGATGAGTCCCGCCATGGTTTCCTGGATACAGCGAGTTGTTCTTTGTTTTTGTTGTAAAGCTTATCGAGAAGACAGTTCAATTCTTCACCGCGTTTCTCCTCCAATTGATGAAGGTTGTTGCGAACACGGTGCGCGATTTCCTCCAAACTTATTCGAATATTATCTATCTAAGGAAACATAATTAAACATTGGATCCTTGATTTACTTTTAACTACTGTCGGACTAAATTTTATAATATTCTAAATACTTAGTAGGGTTCCTATCGTCAACAAACTTTGGTACTTACGTTCTTCGTTAACATCACAGCAATATAAGTGTGAGTAAAACGAAATGTATCATTTTTGGATCGCAACGATTTAGAAAAGTGATCTTTCGAGAATTCTTCTGCTGATTTCTGGTCCCGTATCTGATTTATAACATTTTCCAAGTTCTTAAGTCCTTCTATATTATTGTCGTAAAGCATCAAAATTTCGTCGTAGGCAACCTTTTCCTCTGGACAAGTAACAGGAAGGAAGGATTGCTCAAAGAAGATCTGTTTAATGTTTTGCATCTCAATAGTTTTTTGCACAGAATCAATGAGTTCTTGCCTGTTCACCAGTTTTATCACCTTGTCTGCTTCCTTGATCGCTTTATTCATCACCTCGGTCCAATGAATGATGAAGCTATTTACGATCTTCTTCACTTCACCATAGTATTCCTGATATGATCCTTCGGTAATTTTCAGATCATCCAATATTTGGATGTAATGATTAAGTTTAGGTGTGATATCGCCACATAATATTATATGTGATTCGTATAAGCCTAATTTTCTAGCTTTTTGTGTATAATCTTTGTAACAATTCATGTTTACTTTTGATTTTTATAGAACTTTTATATAATTCCATACGTGTTGTGTAAATTATAGCAAATGTCAGGTGTCATGAAATGTCATATTTATTTTTAATGGCCAAAATACAAAATCAATGAAAGCCACTGACCTCTATAAATGGACTGGCAATAAGACGTAGTATTTTGTTCCTATTTAATTGCCGCCTTATTTTCGCTGATGGTAGCGGTCTGTAGCGGCGATTCGAACTAATTATATAGATAGATATTATTGTAAAGTAACATCAACAGGTGCGTTTATTGAAACACGAAGCAAAAGCAGTCATTATCAAGCAATCGCCGATGCATTTATGGAGATCAGTGTCTAAAATATTAAAGCGATAATGGATCAATAAACTTAAGAGTTATTAATTACTGACTGTACTTTCAATTTACACCGAGGAACGTTTGGCTGCCAAATGTGGCAATTAATGATTTTGGTGTACGCTTGTATAATAAGTAGTAGCCGATCCTCAACGTATCCGGCTCAAAGGATCAAAACTAAAAAAATGCAATAGTTCCAAACACCAATGATATTATAAATATTTATTTTTTAATATTTAATCTATTCACTAATTTACGACCAACCTAAAATTGGAAATAGCTCTGTATTTTTAAAGTTTTGTAGTTCTAACTTTGATGTTAACGTTATCGTTAACATAAATTACACAATAATGCAATTTAGCTATGGTACACAGATTAATTTTATACACAGAATAAACTTTATTTCTAAATATTTCATCCACTTATTATAGCAAAAATATAATTAAAATGTAGCGTAAAACAATATGTTTTTGCTGAGTTTAAGTTTCTACAAAACTACTAATAAAATATTATAAAATAAACAAGATTATTATTATGTCAATAAAAATTATAAACTAAAGAATAAAGAAATGACTTGTTGATTTAGTGATATTAGTGTTCTCAACTTTAAGCATTTCTTTGTAAAAATAATTTTGATATTAAGATTAAGGTAATGCCTAAATGTTGCCAGTGTCATTAATATTTATGTCGTCCCTTTGTTTCATTATATATTCAATAAATTATTAGTCGTGTTGCCAGGAACTAGTGTATAGAAATAAAATAAAAATAATATTTTAAAGGTACGTACAGGTATTTATTTCTTGTTCAAGCGTCATCTAGATATAAAGAGACACAATATTGACACGTTCTGAAAGCGAAATTATCTAAAATAAAAAAAAACAAACAGACACGTTAATCTATTCTAATTTTTTTTCGTACAGATACAATTACAAATCAAAATTTAAAAACCGTCTCTGTAATATATTTCTGTAATTAAAAAAAATCGAAAAAACTTTATAGAAAAAAGGAAAAAAAAACTAAGGTTAAACGACAAAGACATTTTGTTTCCATAAATAAAAATGTATGGAAATTAAATTGGGATATTTATAAAAAGGAAGAAACATACAATTTAAGTGTTTATTGTTAGCTAATATCATTATTAATAATTCTCATGAATGAAATTAGAGAAGGGATATGCTAGACTGGATGCATTTAAGCACACATGTGACGAATTATTTAGGTAATATATTATATTTAATTTTAAAGAATATTTAATGTAAATCTTCTATGATCCATTCAACCAGGTACAAAGTATTTCCATGTATGTACACGAAGTTACAGAAAGATTCCCGCTAACCTCTGAAGACATTTCGTCGTCTTTAACACGAAAGGAATAAAGTCGAATTTTAATCTATATTACCACGGTATTTTTTTTAATTCGGTAACATATACGAAACAAGGTAATCAATCCTAAAACTACTAAACTCGAAAAATAGAAAAGGACACATAGAGCCAATTTTAAAAATAAACAAATTATTTATTATGTTATTTTTCTAAGTACCAAGCAATTTTGAAGCACGTCGTTGTAAATAATTAAAAATTAACAAAAACCCAAATCTAAATTTTGAAGTGTGATAAAACTTAAAAATATATTATTCACTTTAAAAATCCCAATAACTTTTTAACAAACACCTTTCCTTTTTTTCAATTCCCAATTAGTTTAAAGCAAATATCTTAAAATTTTATGACGTATAATAACAAGATTTGGACTTGCGACTATACGGCCAATTTGTAAAACAATTATGTACAGTTCGGTGAACTTCGAGAAAGATATGGCGGGAAAAATATGACAGTCGAATATTTTTAATTCGTGCCATTCTAGCAATGTATCCTTACTATGAATAACATAGTTACGTTAAAGTTATACTTTTATTACAAAAGCATATACTTCTAACATTGCTATTACAATTTTTTTATTAATTTCGGCATTTGTACAGCAAATATCGAGACTTGTAGACGCCATGTTTTTAAAAAAATAAACCAACTGAAATTTCTCATTAGAACCATATTTACTCAAATGTGACAGGTTACTTTTTTAATATTAAATTAAAAAGCACATCAATAAGATTGAATATTTAAGAGAAAAAAGCAAATAAATCTAAACTGGCCTGGCTGAACTAGTGCCTTTTTTATCTGTAACTTTCGTAAAAAAAATATCGCTAAAGCATATTGCCCGGACCGAAATATCGTCCACAGATGTCATCGGCGGGCATAGACAACACAAAAGGGGTTACAATAAATCATGTTAAGACAATTCTGTTTGTATTTTCAATATATATTTAACTCGAATCTATATTACACATCTAATATTATGACATTTACGAACGAAGTCAATGACATAACAGAAAAGAAAACATAAAGAAAAACTAATCTACTCAATGACATGTAAGGCGACCAAATTAAAGGGAAATCCGTGCTCTGCTATACATTTATCATTAAACTATAAAATCAATTTGGTAAACGATTGGCGTAAACCGAGATTTGTGCCACGCGATGTGTGTCTATGGTTGCCACTGCAATGGAATTGCCGTCGACAAAACAAAATGGACGTACACAAAAAACTTAAGGTAAAACAAAATACAAGGCAGCGGGTGGAGTATTACAAACTTACACTTGTCTGACGGCTGCGAGTTGCGACTTCGCCTATGGATTGCCGCCATAGTTGATATTCACCTACCATAGACAACATTTCTACAGACAGGCTAGTGACACGTAAAGCTTTTTCATTACTTTTTTGTACAAACCTTGGGATCAAAACCATAGACAATCGACATAGTCGAAGTGAAATTAAGATATGCTTAAAAAAGAATGCATCGTTACGACAGGAGAGGTGCCTACACAACAATCATATCTTTTAAATCTTAGAATAAACATAGCGACATTCTTATATTGAATAAATAACTAAAGTGACATTCCATTATTAAATAAATGACTAAAGTGACAACTGAGAAATTTTATCTTATATGCATACTTACGACCAGAGACAATTTTATTTTTTCTTCCCTCCTGTCACAACGATGTTCACACATCTTTTTGTTTAAACTAAGAAAGAAACAGAATCCCGTATGTTTAGTATATACAATCAGATATAGCTGACAGAATTGATACAGACAGGTACTTGGAATTCCATTTAATTCTTCATTTACTTTCAACTAAATGAAACGCGCCCCCACTAGTACCCGTACATTTATATTCACTAAAATATTTCTCTTTCATGCTTTTAATACATTTTGTAGAGAGACCTATTCATTATTATCACCACCCAAATGTTTACAAAAAGTTATTTATACAAAGAAAAATATTTTATTTATTTTGGAGCACAATTTATGTTGAACTATTGGACATTGGGATGATAAAGTACTCTAGAGATATTTGGCGTTAGAGGTAACGCACATATCGATATACGTCACAACACTAGTTGTCAAGTGAGCTGGAAGATGGCTAATACATCCATAGTAGGCGTGTACTTGCGGTGTTCAGTACACTAGTGTTGTGATTGTGTTGGCTCGACTAGTGAGCGGGTACTAATAGTGCGATGCAGTGCTCATCTGTACACTAGAGTGGGGGGGGGGTACTGGTGGGGGGCGGTAGGGGCGAGGCGCTCAGTTTGCGCCGAATGCATCCGCCAGCTCCGTCTGGCAGTCGAAAGTGTCGGAGCTATCCGCGTGTTCGGGGTAATACTCCCTGTAGATCTTGTCCAGGAGCGCTTGCCTGTGGACAATGGATAGCGTTAACATAACCTGGCGCCGTACAAACCCTAGGAAGAAGTGCATATGCAGATAACATCAGATGCAGACAACATGACAGATGCAACATGCAGATATCATAATGCAGATGCACAGGAACGGTTTTGGCATTTCCGACGCCCTGGGCCAGATTTTGTGACGCCTCCCTTTTTTCGCGTCAAATGAAATCTTCCAAAAATAGAGCCCAGGGCGCCCTCGGTTATGTTAAGATTATACTGACGTTCATAAAACAAGAAGAACGCCGGCTCATTTGCTTTGTAGCTCTTTGTTTTTTTTTTATTTGAAAAAATAAATGTATACTGACTTGGCTGCTAGACCACCGCCGGGCGGCAGACCAGGTATGTCCTCCTCCACCAGCTGCTTCAGCACGGACGAGAAGTGGCACGTCATGTCGTCGCGGTCCTCGCGGTTGGCATTGCGCTCGATCAGTGCTGAGGAACAAAAGAAAATGTACTTAATACGTGATACAATAGAGTAGAAAATATTTTAGCATGAATACATACAAAAAACATACGACGACGACGTTCTATACAAAATAAAAATACACGTTATGCAATCTATATTTCAGAAGTAAAGTAAAATAGCATAGAAACATGATGACCAATCATCAGTAAATCAATTGTATTCATATAAGTTGCAACAAAAGTAATTACACGTTAATTGACCGGTAATCTGCTTTTTAATTATAATAGTGCGAAACTGTTGTGCGTTTGTTTGTTAAATGATTAAAATCTACGTCGACGGGGCATTGTTTGCGACTGCCCAGCCGGTACTTTCCATTGATGATTAACACATATACTGGAAATGGAAGTTTTCTTAATCTCTTACACATCAAGTACTAACCAGTTTTAAGCAGTCGTAGGATACTAGTATATTAGTAATTTGACTTAAATAAATTTGATCAAAAAACTATTAAAAGTGGGGGAAAAAAGGCAAATGTTATTAACAGAAATCGTAAACATTGCGTTATATAAAAAGTATTTTTGCACAGAACATCCTTATGGAAAATAAATTAAATAAATATGACAAAATGTTCCGGATGATGCAGGCGGAATCGAACTCGTCATCCGTATCCGTCGTCCAGAATGGACAAAACAATTAAAAATTAATCGTCAGTTTCCACTGCCGAAACATACTAAAACTAAAACATATAGCCATCTCAGTTATCTTACTTACGATAAGCGTAGTGTAACAGATTGTTTAATTCTATAACAATATGTTAATCAATTTTTGTGGGAATGTGCTAAAACATTTCATAAACATTTTAAAGATAATATATCTCTTTATATAAACGTAGATTTATAATTATTTACTAAGAAATAGTACGACGTGTGTTGTCACGGTTACGTGATTTCAACTTATTTTCCTGATCTAGCTAAGTTAAAGATTTTGACCAGTAAATTAAACTATGTCTCTTGTTTGGATATACAGCACGTTTTTTACGTTAAATATCCTTATAAAACTTAAACTGTTAAAAACAACTACGTTATTAATTCTGATTAGGGATAAGGAAGAGAAAAAAGATTTGTTTGTGAATGTCCAAAACTACTGAACCGATTTGAAAAATTCTTTCACTGTTGGAAAGCTACACTATCCCCTTGCGACATAGGCTATTAATTAGTATTTAATTGCAGACGAAGTCACGTACATCTGCTTGTATATCTGATATTTTATACGAAACGTAGTAAACCAGTGTTTTTTTGTTCGACCTTCAATGTGTAGAGACTACGGAGATATTGGAGGACGTATCAACAATCAAAAGTCAATGATGACACATTCGTCACCTGTCTATACTCGATAAATGCATTGCTTCAGTCATGGTTTATATTTAGAATCGAAATTTTATATTGACCGCGACAGTACAGTCGCGCACGCAAGTCACATAATAAAACTTATGTACCAGCGGTTTACCTCAGCTCGTCCTTTCAACCTTGTGCTATTTGAATGGTGTTTGGTTATTGTTAGAGCCACCGCGCACTAGACTTTTAGTCGTCCGATAGTTTGTATGTGCGCTTAATCACTATGAGCATGTAATCGGTTTAATGTGCGCACCTCCATAAATGCTCATATTGTTTAACAGGAACGTTACGTTCAAACTATCGAGCGACTAATAGTCTCTAGTGTGCGGGGTCTCTTAGAGATTAGAGTTAAAGATTATAAAATATAGATTTAAGATTTGATTTTTATCAAAGATTTATAAATTAATTTAGTACACGCAAACTACTAGATGTAGAGCTTTCAATTATGCTCTTAGTATACATATAAGAGCGTAGTTTCAATAGTCGATAAATCGGTTGTTCGTAGCATGCATGTTTCGAAATATTTCTTATTCACGCATGCCATAGCGTTAGCAAGCAAGAATCGATAACATGCATTGTGCTACTGTGAATCTATGTACAGTCAGCGTCATATAGATCGTCACAGACAAGATATGCAAATATATAGGTACACCAAAAGTAATCAATTATATCGGTACAACAAAAGTCCTCAAATTAATAGATACATTCACCCTGCTCAAATACATCGGTACATACACAGCGTCAAATATATGAGTACATGCAAGATGCTCATAAATATAGTAGCAGCCACAGCGTCATAAGTAACGAAGCAGTCAAGGTGCGCAAAAATATCGGTACATTTGACAAAATTGAACTCTATCTCTATATACTTGTGATACAATTTGGAATAAACAACTTCTGTTACATTCATTTGACACTTTGTATTAACATTATAGGTTGTCCGGAAAGTTCGTTCTGATTTTCGATATAAAGCTTACAATAGACTGTAGCTGAAGTGGATTCATTTTCGGATTTCCACCATTAACAAACGTCACAAAAATTTCTATATTGTGAATAATTTCATTTCATTGGTTGAGATAAAAACTAATTTTTAAAATTTTATCCAATAATAAAAGACGTTTTAGGTATAGAGTCGTACCAATATAATTTAAA